TTACCATAAATCTCCCCCTTGTGAGATTTATAAGATGTATATTGGAGGAAAGAAATTAGATTAGTAATACCGGAAACCTAATTTTAAAAAACGGAGGTTTATCACAACCAGAAACAAGCAGAGTACCCCCACACTGACATTCCACCCCAAAACATAGAAATACATTCTGGGTGTAGTTGTAGCAAACACCCGCAGGAATTTAGATTTCTCTTTTTTCATTATGGATGGCGTTGCAGAAATGACCACAATAATATATTTTATTTATACCAACTGGAAATCTGTCAGGTCACCGTCTATGGTCATTGACACTGGGATTTTTTTTAGCTTGTTCAATTTTTGTATATGGTGCAGAATACAGGGATATTTTAGTACGCTTCGGTTTGTTTACAATCTATCAACATAGATATTTTTATATTGTGTGTATCCATTTTGAAATTTTAAGTGCACAGAGATCTTGAAAAGTAAAAAAAACTACAATAGATAAAACAAGCCTATTATTAACAGTCTGATTGTATAATTGTTTATCTAAAATTAGTAGCATGTAACTAATAAAATGAATAGATTATTTAATTTAGCTTATAGGCCAGGCCAGCATTTAAAAAAAAAAAATGAAAGGTGTTTGTGATTTTATAAGATACTTACAATTTTCCAGGTATTTACCTTGCAAAGTAGTTAAACATACAGAATTGTGAGTTTTTCATAGTAGCACACACATAACAATTCATGAAACATGAAATCTGCAAATGTGTCTGGTTTCCAGTTTAGTTTTACAAACCTAATGGTACAGATTTTTTACTGCTGACCTGACACCTCTAAACTTCCCGAGATCATGCTGATCTGTATTTTCCTGTTTGCAAACCATATTATTTAGTAGACGTCTATCAAATTTGCAGCATGATGTGAAGTTTATTCTAAACGGTTTGTGTTTTTTTACTTCTGATTTAGTGCATCGGTAACGAGGCTAAAGCCATGAACTACACTAGCTCCTTGAACCTGCCGGATAAGACATTACAGTTTGTGAAAGATCACCCTCTAATGGATGACTCCGTGACCCCTCTGGGGAAAAAGCCCAAGCTAGTGCTTCAGAATGTGACATACACTCAGATTGTCGTAGATCAGGTCAAAGCACTGGATGGCAATACCTATGACGTCATGTTTTTAAGTACAGGTGAGAAGAAAGTCTTTGCACTGCACATGTACATATCACCTACCCTTCTTGTCAGTACCATATCAGGACCATTTTGAAGTGAAACCCTTAGTAAATGTTGCTCTTCATTTGCACGCCCACTGTAAAAAGAAATATTGTGCTCTATAGAATTTGTGATGTTAATTTAGAACTGAACAAGACGATGGCAGAGAACAGCTTATAATACCTGAGCCCCCCCACACATACCAGTCAAACACACAGTACATAATTCAATAAACACCCGCTAAACTATATGTTTTCTAAGAGTTCCCACTGAACAAGACGATGGCATCCATGATGCACTGTAATGCTCCTACAAATGTATCTCGAGCATATATTCTTATAAGAAATTACTCAACATCCTTCGCACGAACAAACACAATATACTGCTACCTTATTAACTTTGCAATGTTAATAAAGAACACACAGGTCCAAACTTGAAATGCTTTGTGCTTGTAAAATACCTATTAAAATATGTTCATCTGTAAAAAGGCAAAATACATCTTTTGTTATTTAACTATTTAGTATTCCAATAAAAGTATGCCTTTACATTTATTCTACAACTGTAAGGTACCGGTGGAAGGTAGCGTCCGAAGTGGAGCAAAGCTGAGGTTTAGGTTAGGCGGTGTCAGACAGGCAGAGTCGGCAACAAACTGGCGATCAGGTACAAAATCAGGATCCAGGAGAGTAGTCGAAAAACAGGCCGATGTCTAACACGAACGGGCAGCGAGGTACAAAATCCGAAGGCAGAAGAATAGTCAGCAAACTAGCCAAAAGTGCTTTTCTTTAATACATTTTACTGGAAGTAGACTTGCCTTTTATTTGTCACTTTTTATATGGGCTGTCTTTGTGGGGGTTTTAAAATGCCTATGGACCTACAAGGGTGTTTAGATGTGCATGCACAATCGGAGCACATACAGCTAATGGGATTGGGTGGTGGTTGCACAAACATGGCATCATGGTTCTTCTTATGGAGAGGGACAGTAAAAGGAGATAAGTGATGCAGATTGCTGACACACTTTGCGAGAAACAGTAGTGTTAGTGACAGGTTTTCTAATTGATGATTCTGGGTATCTTTACTGTTTAGGTAAAAAGATGACCATTGCAAGCTGATGTTTGAAACAAACTTTGTGATCTTTTTATAATACATTTTAATAGCATTTTGTACAAGCTTTTTATTTGTATACATTTGTTTCCACCCTGCTTAGATAAAGGTATGTTGCACAAAGCAATGAGTCGTGACACTGAAATGCGTATTATTGAGGAGATAGTGTTGTTCCCCGATCACCAAGCAGTCCAGACATTGCTTCTTTCAAATAAGCAGGTAAACTTCCCATTTTGATTGCAAGAATGAAAAGTAACTGCTGTCAATATGAATACCTATAACTGTAGTTTTTTTTTTTTTTTAAAGCTATTTATACGCACTTACAGCTCACTTTAACTAAAACTCACTGCTAAACTGCATTCACAGTACAGTCAGCAGAGAGCTAATGGACTTTCAGTCACTAGAAAATACTTTTTACAGAATGGATGACTGACCATGAATGCAGCTTGTCCTCTTTATAATGGACTCCCACTAGGTAAAATGTCCTTGGGCATGCACATTCCACTTAACTCTTTGTTTACTGTGGTGTGAGTTGTGTACAGCAGCAGTGACCTGGCTGAAGTAAGCAAAACACCATACAGGAATAGCACAGTATACAGAAAGCCTTGCATCGTAGAGTACAGCTAACATATATAAAGCAAATTCAATACATACATTTACATTTGCTTTGTTTTTTAAGTGCAATGCTGGTTGTGCACATGTAATGCTTGGCACAGGTGCCAGTTTAATTCCCATCATTACGACTGTATTTCCCTTCGTTCTACCAACTGGCAGGATAAGTGAAATTGCAGTGGAGAGTATATCTGTGCTTAAAAGTAAACGGCTGGGGGCCGTGCTCATCTTTATGCTGTATTTCCATCATGATTCATAACTTCCTAGTTACCTTTTTATAAGCATTTTTATTCAACAGCATGTTACTTTTGGTGCCATTTACTGTACAGTGTCCGTTAAAACCATTAGGGATGGAGGCAATTGTTCAAGTTCTGAACGTAAACAAAACATAGAATATGAGCTATATGTCTGTTCAACCCTAATCTACCTCTTTCACATTAAGCGCACCCACACTTATTATATATTGTTTTTTTAGAGGACAAATGGGGCTTTCGTTTGACATCAAATACTTATAAACGAAGTGTCATTATATTTGAATAAAATCTAACCAATTATGAGAAATTAAGAAATTGAATTTTTACTAAACATGCATGCACACACACACACACACACACACACACACACACACACACACACACACACACACACACACACACACTTTATTGGGAATATCATGATACTGATGTGTTTTTACTGCAATAAAACAACCATAATTTTATTCTACAATCTCAGTGCGGATGGGGTTAATTAAAAAATGTTTAAAAAAGGTTAAAATTATAATTAAAATAAAATATGCAGCGCTGAAGGGGTTAATTTTTTTAAACTAACATTATTAAAAATGGATACAATTCACACACAAAAAAAGAAAGAAAAACCAACAATAATCTGGAACAGTACTATTGTACTGATCAGAGAGATCACAGCTATAAAACTGTGATCAGCAAGTTATTATTTCTATTATATTAAGCACAGTTATTATTACTTTTGGGACTTGAACTATTTGGACACTTTGTAGCACTGATCTACTCTCACCTCAGATCACACTGAGGAGAGAGAAGCAGAGGCAGTGCTGACAGCCAATGATTAGACTAATTGGCTGTTACAGTGTATCACTGCTTGTCACTGCAATCATGTGAGCCTGAACCGAAGAGTGCCTGAGAAGCCAGGCATTGCATCCCGACGGGTAGTTATAACATGGGGGGGAGGGGGGGAACAGAAGGGCTTAGAAGTTAGGATGTTCTATGTCGTCCTAACGTCTTTAAAGCCCACGTTTTCCAGATCGGCATGGAACGTCCTGACGTCGGGAAGAGGTTAACTGCCATATATTGTGATGTGTAGGGTGGTACATGGCTAGGTATTGCCAGCATGGTTACTGCATTTTCACTGACTGTTCCATGTCACTGTTTTGTTGTAGAACAAGAGATACATCTATGCCAGCTCCAATGATGAAGTGATTCAGTCTCCCATTGCTTTCTGTGAGAAGTTCACGTCTTGTGCAGAGTGTGTGCTCACCAGGGATCCCTATTGTGCTTGGCACCCAAGCAAAAATTCCTGTGTTGAAATCCTTCTGGAGGCTAACACGGACAGGTACATAATTCATCCTTGTCTTTTTCTTCCTTATTAAATCATCCACGTAGCGCTAGCTAGAACAGAGAGTCTTTCTTGAGGATGGTGGAACATTTGTCGTAGCTAAATGTATGTTTGAGTAAACAAACCTGCAAAATCTTAACACAATGTACGCTGGTGTGTAAACATTTAGAAGCTATCACTCCAAAAAAGGCACTTCCCAAAGTACTCCCCCAGGTGAATAGAGGCCTCACCCCAAACTAGTCAATTATCTATACATTTAAGTAAATGTATAGATAACATTTAGAAGCTAGACATATATAAAATTGTATGCATCAGGAACTCAGACAAGTGTCCCAGATGTATTTGTAACAATTAGGGTATCTTCAAGGTATATTTACTGAAGAGCAGAACACTGGTGCAGCCTGAAGTGGCCTGCAGAGTATTTGTATATAGTGTGATCATAGATGGCCCTTTCTTTTACCCAATGTGGTACGGTGCCATAAGCTGTGAATGTAGCTCTAAATTCTTCTTCCTTCATAGCACAGAACAAATGGGAATAGCCCAAAAACTTTCTTCTGGATTTACAATCATAAACTGTATCATCCAGTTAACCCTTCAGTTTCTGTTCTGTGATGCCAGCCCAAGATTGGAAGTCTTGGCTAGCGTGGGGTATCTTTCCATCCAGAACGGAAGTGAAATGTATTCCTTGATTCTCTTATGGGAATATTGAAGTGTAGCGTTCACCCAGTTTTTCTATTTACCTGCATACAAAACACCTAGCAGTTAGTGACTGATACTGAAGCATTACTACACTGAGGAGCTTAAGAGGAAATAAGACAAATGTTACACCTCACATGTTATTGACTGGTACTGAAGCATTACTACACTGAACAGCTAAAGTGGAAAATAGACAAACATTACGAATTGCAACAAAGTTTAAAGCAGACATTTTATTGCTGATTTCATTTAGGGATCGCAGAAGCAATATTAAGATTAATGAAGGATATGAAATCCTGGCATGGCTGAACAATATTTATGTTGAGAATGTAAGACTGTGAACCTTACTTGATCTTTAAATTGTCTTGTTTTACCCCAGGCTCTTGATTCAGTCTTTAAATGGAGATTCTTCTCAATGTCCAGGTAAGTTTTGTCCTCTGTTATTTAGAACGAATGCGAATCCTTACAGATTTGTAACGTCATGATGGTTCCTTGGGCTCCTCCACTGATTTGACATGACTTAGACATGTTCTTAGAGTTAAGCCTTAACACAATATCGATCTACGTCAAACCCAATCAGAAGTACTGTGTTAATCTTTATATATTAATAGTAATATAAGAGAATTATTGTTGATGTATGCCCCGCTTTTTTAGATTCTGCTGATAAAGGGATCCAGGAAAGTAAGAGGTACTCTGTCAAGGCAGGAAGCACAGTAGAGATGAAATGTTCTTACAAGTCTAATCTGGCTTCAGTGGTGTGGACATTCAATAAAGAAAGCTTTAGCGTGGCCCCTCCCAAATATATTGTGAACAATGCTCTAATCATACTCAATGTGACGGAGTCAGATACAGGCACTTACCAGTGCTGGGCACAAGAGCTTGTGATGAGTAATGTATTTTCCCAGCTGGTGATCAAACATGTTCTAGAGATTGAGAAGACACCACCTCCCGTGGCCAGCACAACTCCACCACCATCAACACGAATGGAAGGAATAATGGAAACCACTCGCTTTTATGTAGTGAAGAAGGAGAAGACCACCAAAATGTCTACGACCACAACAACTACTCCAGTAGTAACTACATCTGTTGGGGGTGTAACATATCTAAACAACAAAATAACAACACCAACGGTCCCTGTGTTGGGGGAGGTATTCAGCGCCCTTCCCAATGTTGAAAAAGCTTTGTACTTGACCAACAATAATGACTGCTCTCTTCTCATAATTTTGGTCATAGTATTCTTCTTACTATTTGTCATTTTGTTGATATACAATTGCTACAAAGGGTTCCTTCCAGACGCTTGCCTGAAATACCGCTCTGCTTTGCTATCAAGCAAAAAGAAGAGTCCTCCAAGCTTGAAAGATTGTGAGCATGGTTTGAAGGAAACCTTAGTGGAAAAAGGGTGTACTGAGAACCAGTGTAGTGGGACAGTTAAAGCGCCTCCAGACACCGGCTATGAGACAGATGCAGACTGTGTTAATGGAAATATCACTCATAAAGAAGATGAGACGACAGAGGAAAATGAGACGGACCAACCATTTGATGTTAAATGTGAAATAAAGTACGCCGACTCAGATGGTGATTGAAGCCAATGCTTTTCTCTCAAGTGATGTGTATACTGAGCCACACGTAATATGGCTACTAGGCTGTTCAGCTTCACTCCATTTCAAAAAAGGATATATGGTTGTTTCTAGTGTTTAGCTAAATGTATTGTTTGTATATCCTTTCCATGTCTTTCTTTACATTCCTCTTTAGTTTGTGTTTTTTTTTTTTCTTTGCACAAGACTGACCAAGTGCTTTCACGTTATAAATTTAATTCCAAATTGGAAGTTATTATTTTTTTTTTATCAAATTGGTAAGTATCTGGTACTTTGGCCACATAGGGGTACAGCTATTCTTGTTAGTACTTGAAGATGTAACTTCCAGAACACAATTTATAATACTGTGTATGTGTATATATAGTCTTTGTTCATTTGCCTGCAGCTTTGCTATGGATCTGTTTTTCTTCAGTCGAATTGCTTTCTCAGGGAATACAACCTTTGCTGTCCTACTTTTCATAATGTAAAACAAAACTGCTATCCTTGCAACCTGTGGGTACTCGAGCGATGGAGTGAGGGAGTGGGAAGTGATGTATCTGAGCTGTTTTTTATTCGTTACATCACAACAAGAACTGGACTGTGGACATAACTACTGACATGGGGAAAGATGCAAATAATTTCTGTACACAGCAGAACAATTGTGTACAGGGGGAACAGGATGTATTTTAAACATTTCCAAAATCCCTGCATTAGTTATGCGCTGGTAATACTTAAATGGAAGCACCAGCAGGCATTTCTATGGACTATAAGGGAAAATAAGACTTTCAACAGTGACTTTTGGTCCTACCTGTGAAAACACTGGAGGGAAACTGCAGAAAGAGACACTGAGACTACTTGCCTGCAAAATCCACATGCTATGTGCACTAGAAAGCATGATAAACTCATTAAAGGGCATTCTTTCAGTGTATTATATTGTTTAGCTGTAAAAAAAAAAAAGGACAAAACCACACTGTGATTCTTGCTGTTTATACATTGAAAATAAGTTTATTTTTCTATAACGGTTCTGTAAAAATGTAAATTCAAACATTCATTAAAGTATAATTTTATTGTTTTAAGAAGTTTAATTTAGTGTTTTGTCATTCTTTGGCCCATTTGCATATGCTTGTCACCATTCTTAATTTAAGATTTTCGTTCAGTGCATGAACTTCCTTTTTTTGGTAGTGTTGTGCTTCCTTTTATCTTTCTTAGTTCCCTCTTTCTTTCTCTTGTGTCCTTGTCTATCACACAGCCTCATCTCCCATACCTTTTCCTTCTTCTGCCACCTCCTTTGTGTCCTCTATGGCTTCCGAATTGCATCCTTCACTATCCAGCATGCATCCTGAAGTTCTTTCTAGTGCTGAAACAGATGTTCTCAAATTGCTTCCTCCTTTCCTAAGTGATCAGGGCCAGATTGTTCATGTCCATGGAACGCTCCATCTGTTTTGTCATGCTACTGGTGAGTAGAACCCAAGTGTCCTCTGTAAAGGAGATAACATGGAAGATTGTACCATATATATTTGCAATGTGAATACATTAAAGTAAATTATGCCATTCCTCTTGCCATCCAATTTAAGAATACCTGTGTAAGCTCTTCATTGTTCCCTCTTGTCATGTCACTGCTCTCTAGCAATCCCTTATGTTTTATTTATTATAAGAGGTATTTATATAGCGCCAACAATTTACACAGCGCTTTACATAGTTGCACATTCACATCAGTCCCTGCCCTCAAGGAGCTTACAATCTAATAATCCCTTGATAGCAGCTGTGAACATTTCAATGGAAATAAGACTTTTGAAGTCGGTTCTTACACATGCTATCTAGATACAAAGATATCATCCTTTCTTTCCTGATTGAGACTTTTTTTTTTCTTTTGGACAAAAAGAAAAAAAAACTTAATTCCAGCCAATGTGGAAGGTAAGGATGAAGGAGTGAAAGAAAGTGGATTTTTACAAGGAGTTTCACAGCTGCTATCTAGATTTTACTAGAGAGCTGTGGGAGCTGAGAGGAAGCAAAAAAAGAGATTGGAGCAGCCTCTATGAACAGGTGCCTTTTAGCTTTGAAGAGCAAGTTTGAATGATTTAGACAAATGAGAACAAAACCACTTGGATATTAATTAGTATTTGTTTATGCTATGTTATCTGCCATCCCTAGTAAAAGGTTGCAAGGAGTTGGGAGTAAGTGACCCTTTAATATTACAGCCACCTTCTCATGTTAACCATGGTGCATTGAAGTGTATGTGAAGACAAAAGCATTTGTTGTGTTTTAGATACAGTGGAGAAGGATTAGAATTCCTGCCTGGTTTTCAATGCTTTCCGTGGCTTTGCTACATAAAAAAACTAAAACTAAGAAAAAAGTATTGGTTTGACATCTGCCTACACCAAAGCTTTGCAGTTCAGGCAGAGGGGTGTGGGGGATCTCATTTAGACAGAAGCCTGTCAGAGTGTGAAAATGTGGTGTCACCCTACAGGTTAAAGTATATCTGAGCCCAACAATGTTTATCTATCCTATCTATCTATCTATCTATCTATCTATCTATCTATCTAGTCTCCATTTGTATGGCTTTTTCCCTTTAATCATGCAAGTAACAAAGTTCCTGCCCCAGGGTGACCAAGCTCAACGTACTGTATTTATAGAGGAGCAGTGTTGTCACCTAGTTGCTCCCCTTATTTGGACTACAAACACCTTCCTCTCTTACTGTGTAGTTCACAGAAGATAGCTTTGAAGGCAGATACAGAGATTGCAGTTCAGTGCACAAGGACACTGGATTTCTATCAGGATCAACAGGTATTTTTTGGTACTTGCAGAAAATGTACTTAAAAAAGGAAAACCAATGCAGCCATAACATTTAAGGACTGGCAAGCTGCAATATATTTCATTTTTGTTGTTTTGTATAGATTGGGGATGCACCGATACTGGTTTTTCGGTATTGACTATGAATACCGATATTTTTTTTCGATGCCAAATACCGGAAGTCCCATTAACCACTTCCGGGCCGGCCGTAGTAAAAAAAAACGAAAAACGCCCGTCCCCGAGCTCTCTAGATCTGAGCGGGCGTCTTCAGACGTCCGCTCAAACACGCCCCCTCGAGCGGGAAACGGCCGAAAATTTTAAAACAGGCAGCGGTGCCTGTTACCCTACAAGCGATCCGCCGGCTGTAGAGCCGGGGCGGATCGCGTGTATGGGGTGCCGATCGGTTCCCCTCCATGGTGTATATCGCATCACTTCCGCATTCTCGTGTCACTCTCCAGCTTCAGAAACTGATGGAGCAAATCTGTGCTTCATCAGCTTCTTTTGTGGGGTCCTAGGTGACATTAGGGGTCTTGGAGACCCCTGATGTCTCCATAAAGAGGACCTGTCACATATTTTGCTATCACATAGGGGTTTTTTATTAGCCTCGTATGTGATAGCAATAAAGTTTAGTAAAAAGGAAAAAAAATGTAAGTTCCCCCCCAAAAATTTTTTAAAGTCACACATAAAAAAGAATTAAAAAAATAAAAAAATGTTTTAAGTCCCCACCCATACATACACGCATGCAAACATGCGTCGGGGGCGCATACGTGCAAAAACGACGATTGCGCCCATTACGCCGCACATGTTACATATCGTCGCGAACGTCACAGTGAGAGCAATAATTCTAGGGCCATCAATCACTGATAACACTAAA